ATTTTGGTCAATGACATGAGACAAAGTATATGTGAACTGCTGTATGAAAAGTGAATTTACTCTGTAAATCTTCACCCAAATCCTAATTAAAAAAAAAAAAAAAAGGAAAAAAAAAAAATTGTTGCAGCAGTATTTCTATAGGAAATTATCAGAGATTCAGGCCAGATTCAAGAAGAGGACGTGGAATGAAGGATATCATTGCTGATGTCAGATGGAGCTTGACAGTAGCAGAGAATACCAGAAAGATGTTTATGTGTGTTTTATTGACTATGCAAAAACATTCAACTATGTAGATCATAACAAACAGATAAATGTGCTCATGTGGAACCTGCATGTAGACCAAGAGGCAGTCATTCAAACAAAGCAAGGGGATAAAATCAGGAAAAGGGTATGTCAGGGTTGTGTCCTTTCATTATACTTACTCAATCTGTATGCTGAGCAATTAATATGATAAGTTAGAGTATATGAAGAATGCAGCAACTGGACAAAGACTCATTAACAATCTGCAGCAGATATGCAGAGGACACGATCTTGCTTGCTGAAAATGAAGAGGACTTGAAGCACTTAATTGATAAAGATCAAAGACTACAGCCTTTAATTCAGTATAGATTACACTACCACATAAAGTAAAAAAAAAAAAAAATCCTCACAACAGGACCAATAAGCAGAATCATGATGAACACAGATATTGAAGTTGTCAGTGATTTCATTTTACTTGGATCCACAGTCAGCACTCATGGGATCAGCAGTCAAGAAATGAAAGGACATATTTGCATAGGCAAGTCTGCTCCAAAAGACCTCTTTAAAATGTTTTTAAAAAAAGTTGTCACTTTGAGGACTAAGGTGCAACTGACCCAAGCCATGGTATTTTCGAGTGTCTCAAATGCATACAAAAGCTGGACAATGAACAAGAAAGACTGAAGAAGAATTGATGCCTGTGAATTTTATGGTGTTGATGAAAAATCATGAGTATGCAATGGACTGCCAGAAGAATGAACAAATCTTCCTGGGAAGAAGTACAACCAGAATGCACCTTACAAGGAAGGATGATGAAACTTCATCTGGCTTTGGACATGTTCTTAGGAGGGACCAGTTCCTGGAGAAGGACATGATGCTTGGTAAAGTAAATAGAGGGTTAGCAAAAAAGAGGAAGACTCTCAATGAGATGGATTGACACAGTAGCTACAACAGTGGGCTCAAACGTAGTAACAATTGTGAGGATGGCACAGTACTGGGCAGTTTTTTGTTCTGTTGAACATAGGGTAGCTACGACTCAGAACTGACTCAACGACACCTAACAACAGTATTAACAACAAGAAGTTGTTGTTGGGCCATAGTTTGAAAACCACAATCAAGCATATGGTTCTCAAACTGGCTGCTGGCCTATCAGCATCACCTGCAGGGCTTTAAAAAGAAAATTGGTCTCCATAGGTTCAGAGAACGCGTCATAAATGAAGACCTACAGTTAGATCCAAAGGGGTCTCAAGTAATCGTGTCTCACAATAGTTGTAGCTCATTTCATTTCTATAAGTAGTTGCCAGGCACAAACTACATATAAGAGAGTTCTGTATTCTCAAAACCACTGGGTCACATCAGTCCATCATTTTCATACTATTTGTGTGGCAGTGAAAATAGGACATCCTATAAGGAGCTCTGGTAGCATAGTGGCTAAGGCACTTGACTGCTAACCAGAAGGCTGGCGGTTCAAACCCACCAGCCACTCCTCGGAAGGAAGGTTGGGCAATCCTACTTCCGTAGTGATACTGCCTCGGAAACCCAAGGAGGGGTCGCTATGAGTCAGGGCTGACTCGACGGCACATAACAACAACAACAACAATTAGGATGTCCACATCCTAAGCAGATCTGATGTCTTGCCAGTTAATCTCTTTCACCTGTTTATTTCTAAATTACAAACCTCTTTTCCATTTCGCAGATGATGTGGGTATCCCCCATATCTCTAGTCTAGTCTAATGCCTCCCTTTCCATTAGACCTCATTTTTATTCTTACCTCTAATTATCCTGTTAGGTATTAATGGTTAACTTTCAAGTGATGAGTAACACTTGAAAAGGATCCAACCTTTAAATAAGTTTTTCCAGAAGGCATGAGAAGGTCCCGGTAGATTTCCATGGCCTTGGGGTTTGTATTTCCTTGAACATGATGTTCTTCAGTAAAATCATCCTGAGGACATGGTCAGTCCGTAGAAGAATTGCAGCTGTCGTTCATCAGAGTGTGTATATAAGAGTCACCTGTGATCTTGTTAGAATGTAGATTCTGATTCAGTCTATCTGGGGTAGAAAGCTAAATTCTCAGCAGGGGGTCCAACCAGAATGAAACTGTTCAAAATCATGCTTTAAAATAAATCATCTCATACAGTAAAACATACTATCTGTTATCCCTTCATTATAACCCAACCTTGTTATTATTGGTGGAACCATAATCTGTGGATCTTTTCTGAGATTTAAAATACATTTGGGGATAATTCAAACATCAAGGACATCAAGAGTCTAACATGAAGGTTGTAAGTAATGTGACTTCTATTTCCAGAATTGTTTACTTTAAACCAGTTCCCTTTGACATGAAAATATATATTGAGAGTTGAGTTTTTATGAAGAACCTTGTAGTTTTTTAAAAATCTTTCTGACAAGTTGAGTTGTCAAGATTGACATTCCGTTTATTAAAAATATACACATGTATATGTACACACATGCACACATACAAGAAATTGATGCTTAACAGATTCTTTGTGAAAGCATGAACTAATTGCATTACTCTTCTAAATAAGGGACAGTTGTTTTCTTGATTCAGATTTGGTTATATTTTTAGCCTTCTTAAGAGCGACTCTTTGGAAGCCTTAAAACCAGTAATTACTTGGGTCAATTATTTGTAAAGTCAATAAAGGGAGTCATCAGGGGTGGCTAATTTTTGTGATTTTTCTTGGTGAAAATGTCAGTTTTGATGGAATATTGAGATTCTTTCCTGAGATGTTCACAACTGAAGCTCTTTTTTTCACTGAGTCAGTCAGTCTCAGGAGTGTGTCAGTTATATGAAGAGTATTACTTAGTGCTTGAGTCAAGTAGTTTAGCCAAGAATCTGTAAGGTATAGGTCACTGGTGGGGTATTTCACGTTGTATGTTTCTTTGGCCTATGTGGTTAATGCATGATGTATACCCCTATGTCGTATTTTATCCTATTGTGATGAAAACTATAGGCCACATTCTTCGAAGTGCTCTGTGTATGCTTTGTAGAAACAAATGTGTATATATATATATATATCACTCAGTGGAATTCATTTGGAAACACAACTGTGTCTAAAATCTGGATCTAGAAAACCTTTACAAAGGTAGAAACTTAAAGGGTTTTCATTTTATCCTATGGGTCTCTTTCTGTAGACTTGGAGAGGAAACGAACAAGAAGAGTGGGTCCCTCAGACATACCAAGATTTAGAAGGTCTGCCTTGTATTGTGATATTAACTGGCAAAGATCCTCTTGGAGAAACCTTTCCCAGGTACTATTTGAATAATTAGTTCTCATTTTTCATTAGTTTCCCAGCTGAGCTAATACTTAAAACTGACACTTAACCATTTCATTTGTTTGGTAAGTGACGAGAACTGTTTTATGCAGGGATATAAGAAATGTTATTCATTGCTGTCGAGTCATTTCTGACTTATGGACATGCCATGTGTTACAGTGTAAAACTGTTCCTTAAGATTTTCAAGGCTATGACTTTTTAAAAAGGACATCAGCAGGCCTGTCTTCCAAGGTGCCTCTGGATGGATTTGAACCTCCAACCTTTCACCTACTGGTCTAGCACTATTTGTGCCACCCAAGGACTCCATAAGAAATGTAGTCTTCCTTGATTCTTCTCTTTTGACTTCCCAGAGATCACTCAGCAGTTTTTGGAATGGAAGATCTCCACATTTGAGAAATGTCTAGGCAGGGACCTCAGTAACAGAAAGAGGAAAAGCACACTACCCCAAATCAGAAATTTTTCCTGATGGAATGCTTTGTCAGTGTTAATCTGTGGCTCCCATACCCTTCAAAGATGTAGGGCCCATAGTTTGGAAGGCAGTAATAATACTAGCTTTTATTGAGTGCCTATTGTGTGCCAGACATTGTCCTAAATACCCTGCATGTGCCATGTCATCCATTCTTAAAATTACCATATGAACCAGACAGTGCTCGTAGAACAGGTGAAGTGCAGACAGGTTAAGTGACTCACCCAGAGTCATAACAGCTGGGAAGTAGCAGAAACCCACTGCCGTCAAGTTGATTCCGACTCATAGCGATCCCCATTGGGTTTCTAAGGTTGTAAATCTTTACTGAAGTAGATTGCCTCATCATCCTCCCACAGAGAGGAAGTAGGAGGGCTAAGGTCTAAATCAGGGATCACCTAGCACTGAAACCCATAGTTTTAACTTCTCATGATACATTCAGATACCCAGGCAAATATAAACACTTTATGGACAGCCAGAAGGGATCACCAACAACATACTACTTTTGTACAGGTCTTTGAAATACTGTGACCTCCGCTTAATCGACTCAAGCTATTTAACCCGCACGGCCTTGGAGCAGGAGGTGGGTTTGGCGTGCTGCTATGTCTCAAAAGAGGTCATCCGGGGGCCCGCAGTTGCCCTGGACCTTAGTGGGAAGGAGCAGGAGAGAGCCACTGTCAGTGAGAATGACTCGGATGAGCTGCTGATTGACTTGGAGAGGCCCCAAAGCAACAGCAGTGCAGTCACGGGAACCTCAGGTCAGTACTTTTCTCTTTCAAAAGACAAAAGGACAGGAGTGAGAAAGATAGGTTAGGGGTATGGAACACTTCTTACTGAGATACATCAAGGCTTCCGAGTAGCCTGCAGTGACTCGGATATCCTTTCCAGGCCTCAGTTCCCCAGCAGAGATACTTGGAAAACATGCTGTTGAACAGCTCCAAAACATTTATGGAGCTTCACCATTTTCCTAGTGTTTGTCACTTTTAGTCATCTCATGGTAATTATGCATCCGGTATTTGCGCACACACACACACACACACACAAAAAAAAACTCACTGCCGTCGAGTCGGTCTCAACCCTTCGTTGGGTGTCCGAGGTGGTATTTCTAAGGAAGTAGATTGCCCACTCTTCCTTCCGAGGAGTGGCTGATGGGTTTGAATCACCAGCCTTCTGGTTAGCAGTCTAATGCCTTAGGCACTAGGCCACCAGCGTGCCTATATTTGCACAAAGACTGTTTTTCTTCTAGGTACTACAGCTGTTTGTGCTATTTAGCTTATGACCTGGCCCAGAATGTTTGTTTGAGTGAATGAATCATTTTTCTAAAAACTTAATGACAAATATATACTGAAGGTTACTCTGGGGCCACTAATTGGTTAGTGCCCAAGACTCAGGCTTGTGGACACTGAAGGTCAGGGCTATGAGGGGAAGGCAGTTCTCATACAAGATGGACAGACACAAAAGACAGATGAGCAGTGGAGTTATTTGGACTTAATAGCCTCCAGTCAATGGCTATTCATTGACGATTTCCCAAGTTTGGGACTGACCTACATACCTGGGAAGCACCAATGTTGAGGTCAGAGATGCCTTCAGTTCTGAATGTAATGAGCTTTGGTTTGTCCTCAAACCTAAAAGTAGCTGATCTATTGGGGTAAACAATATTTGAAGTGAATGGACCAAATGTGCAGATACTTGGTAGAGCAACACCTCCTGTGGAGTAGATAGTTTCTCCCCTTCATGGGAAGACAGCTTCACTCTGACTTGGGGGCTCATGGAGATGACTACAGCCTGAGAAACCTACCCACTGTCGGAAATGTGAGACCCTCTGCCCACAGCCGCAAGGGAGTACCACTGAGCAGGACTTAAATATGGAACCTGTATGGTCAGGGTCCTGGTTTGAAGCAGCTGGCATATTCAAAAAAGGTAACTTAAGGAAAGGTTAATAAAGGGACTATTTATAGAGACATGAGCAGGATTTAGAAAAGGAATGAGGTCTAGTTAACCACAGGGGGCCTTGACTACCCCTGAACTTGAGGGCAGCAGGAGGAGGGAACAGTTACTGAGACCAAGGGAAGCCCCCCACCATGCAGTTGGGCCCTCAATACAGAAAGGCAGGCAGCGCCCAGTGACTTTGCAAGGAGGGAGCCAGGGAACAAACTTCTATTTCTTACTGTTGTCTCCTGTTGGCCAGACTGGCCCAGGAGGCAGGTGAAGTATGGAGAGGGGATGGGCAAAAGGAAGGGCTCTAGTGCAGTTTTTGCAGCCCACAGAGTAGAGCCATACTTCAGCTGCTTCCCTGGCCTTTCCCTCCTTCCTCAGGAGGTGCCAGGAGTCCAGCAGGAGCATACCTTAGCATTGGTAACAGAATAGGTATGGCCCTGGTTCTGTCCTCTTCCAGGTTCCATCATGGAGAATGGGGTGAGCTCTTCCAGCACAACTGATAAGTCCCAGAAGCAGCCTGTGACACCCAGCTTCCAAAACCCAGCCACCAGCATGGGGTTGGACGAAGGGGTCTCTGCCGGCATCCTGGTGGCTGGAGAGACGCTGAAACAGGAGTGTGACTCCCTGGGCCCCCACATGGCTAGCAGCACTACTTCCAAGCCTTCGTCATCGTCCTCCTCTGGACCCCGGACCTTCCCGTGGCCCGGACAGCCTGTGAGAGGCTGCAGGGGCCTGCATGCAGCCCTGCCCCCAATAGTGATCTTATCCAAAGCGGCCTACAGCCTCCTGGGCCCACAGAAGGGTGGGAAACTGCCGGCCTCCTCAGCCCTGCTGCCCCATGCTGATGTGGCCTGGGTGAGCACACTGAGGCCACTCCTGCACAAAGACATGAGCAGTGAGGAGCAGTCCCTCTATTACCGGCAGTGGACCTCTGCCAGGCAGCACCATGCAGACTTTAGCAACCAGCCCGACCCTGCCTCCAGCACCCGGAGCATCCACCCACGTCGGCTGCTGCTGACTGGGCCTCCCCAGGTAGGGGTGGGACAGGCTGAGCCTTGTCAGATGCTCCCCAAGAAAGGGAGCCAGAAGTACCCTGTGGGCGGGGTGGGCGTGACCTAAAGCCCTGGTGCCCCCATTCAGGCCTCTGAAGGTTGGTGGGCCAAAGTGTGAAATTTCTTTTCTTTTTTCCTGCCTTCTCTTCCTTTACCCCTCCCCAATTAAAAATATTTCCATCAGGTGGGAAAGACTGGCTCCTATTTACAGTTCCTTAGGATCCTCTTCCGCATGCTCATCAGGCTCCTGGAAGTAGATGTGTATGACGAGGAGGAGATCAACACTGGTGAGTGCTGGCGCTGGCCTAGGGTGAAATGAACAAGACCTTCCACACTGATCCCAGCAGAGTTTTTTGCCTCCTAGTATTTTTCAAAGTAGCATAGTGCCTAAGGCACTTGACTGCTAACCAGAAGGCTGGAGGTTCAAACCCACCAGCCACTCCTCAGAAGGAAGGTTGAGCAATCTACTTCCGTAGTGATACTGCCTCAGAAACCCAAGGAGGGGTCACTATGAGCCGGTTTGACTCGACAGCACACAACAACAACAGTATTTTTCACACAGCACCTACTTTACAGCATTCTTGTGAAGGTTAAAGGTAATGTGCCCAACAAATCGTTCTAGCTAAACTGTGGCTAGGTGTTACCTCCTTGAGGTCAGGAATGGAGTATATGATTTCATTTGGATTCCCGCTCCCGCTCAGTGCCTAGCAAGGGGCTGGGCAAAGGGGCATTTTATAAAGGCCTGTTAGATAGGTTAATTACCTAAATGGTTAAACCATGGTAAAAGCTGGTTTTGTGTTGTTCTACTGCTTAAGAATCCAGGACATAGTTTATATTCTGGATAAGAAAAAACAAACTCACTGCTGTCGAGTTGGATCCAACTCATAGTGACCCCTCCTTGGGTATCCCAGGCAGTATCACTATGGAAGTAGATTGCCCAACCTTCCTTCCAAGGAGTGGCTGGTGGGTTTGAACTTCCAGCCTTCTGGTTAGGAGATACTAGTCCTTTATTGGTTGGCCCGAGCATAACTCATATTGTAATCACAGGCTCTAATTGAAGATGTAGAATTATCTTCATTTCATAATGAAATGAAAATTTCTGAGTACAACAGAATGCTGCCACTATAAGCAAACAAACAAAAGCCCTTCTGTTTGCGTAAGATACAGGAGGCAGAGCCTGATAAAGCTGTAGGGATTAGTATCAACTTAAGATCATTTCCATCCATCTTCCTCCTGGTCTCCCCTTCCCAGCCTATAGCTTCCCTGTTAGACCATTAGATTAAATTCTACAGCCTAGGGACCAGAAAGTGGACATGAACAGAAATCTACAGTACTCTGTGGCTAAGAGGAGTGTGGCCTCAAAACTGTTTGACTCTACTGTAGGAGAAATTGTAGGGAGGAAGGAGAGATGACCAAATAGAAGTTCTTCTCAAGCCCTTCAAAGATGAGTCCAAAATAGGAAAAGCTCTTGGTATCTTCTCCAACAAATTAGCCTTTGGAGATCTCACCTTGCTTGCTTTTCCTAAATAGTTCAACCAGTTCTGTGACCAGCTCAGGGACTCACTCACTAACTCACTGCTGTTGAGTCAGATCCAGCTCAATAGTGACTCCTCCTTGGGTTTCCAAGGCAATATCTCTATAGAGGTAGATTGCCCAATCTTCCTTCCCAGGAGTGGCTGGTGGGTTTGAACCGCCAGCCTTCTGGTTAGCAGTCAAATGCCTTAGGCACTAAGCTACCAGAGCTCCCACTCAGGGACTAGTCTGCTCCAAAACAAAACTACTATGGCTTCCAGCCCTGTTCCTATTCCTCAGTGACACACATCCAGAATATCTCTCTCTCTCTCTCTTTCTCTCTCTCTCTCACACACACACACTCATCGCCATACTCATATCTCCTTGTTTGTGTCTAGAGCTAAGCTGTGCCAGATCCCCAGGCCCACCGCAGAGGGGAACCAGAGCTTCAGGTTGGCCTTGAAATAAGCCAGGCCTCCTGGACCAGAAGGGCAAAGCCAGAGCCAACCAGACAAGGAGCAAGGGAGTTTTTCCACCAGGCTCCTTCGGGCCACAAAAGAATGATGTCTTTATATCCTCAGATCATGCTGCAGTGATCTCGGATCTTAATCTGTGCTGTTGAGCTGTGAGAGAGGTCCATCCATAGCCGGTTTGAGAGAAGAGCCTGGCCTTTGTATTGAGAACCTGTTAACTTAGCTTGGCTTTATTTTTTCTCTCTCACTTTAGTGTTGATGACTAGAAAGGTACAATGAAAATGATACCTTTTTTTTAAAAAAAAAATAAATAAATAAATTTTAAATTTTAAGTAAAATATGAACTTCAGCTCAAAACTCTCAAAAACCAAGCTCACTGCCATCCAGTTGATTCCAACTCATAGCAACCCCCATTGGGTTTTCAAGGTGGTAAATGTTTATGGAACTGGATTGCCCTGTCTTCCTTCCACTGAGGGGCCAGTGGGTTTGAACTACCAGACTTCTGTTTAGCAGTCAGATATCTTAGGCACTGCACCACCAACTTTGACTCAGGGATATAAAAATAAATACTATTTGTGTTAAAAAGATAATAGTTATACTTTCAGTATTTAGACTTTTCTGAAGGTTTCCTTCCTTTTCATTTTTGAAAATTATCTTAAGCTACTTTTTGATCTTACAAATATTATTAGTACTATCATCTATTGAACACCTGCCATGTGACTACTAGATGCTGTCTTAGCACTTTCAATATCTCTCACATCAGGGGACTCTGAAGTATTGCAAGTAAGTTACTTAACAGTGTGAAGTACTAAGAGGCAGAACCAGGATTCAAACACAGGTCTACTGGCTCTAAAAACAGTGATTCTAAACTTCTACTGCACATTGGAACCACCTGTTCATGTAAAGATTACAGTTTAGAAAACCCTATGGGGCAACCTCTCATCTGAATCAAGGAAGAACGAAGAAAATCAAAGGCATCTGGAAACAGTTGGTTCAAGGATATGATAGACCCCAAGACCAGAAGAACTAGATGGTGCCAGACCACCAATGCCAACCACTCGGAAAGGGATCAAAACTGGAGATCCTGGATAGAGTGGGAGGAAAAATGTGGGACAAAATTCAAAAACACAAAAATGACAAGAATTACTGGTCAGATAGAGTCTGATGGAACCCCTGAGACCCAGGTTCCATGGCCCCAGGTTACCCTTCAGGCCTAGAAATGGACTCACCCCTATGGATTGGCTTGCAGACCAATGGTAGAAAGATCTACATGCAGAATACCTAACCCGGGACAATGCACCCACCTATCATCCTAGGGAGATGTACCCCTTAGAGCAATCAGCCATGGGCACCAGAGGGGCAGCATTCACATAGAGGGAAAGCTGGACAGACAGGAGTGCATAGTGAAAAAGGGCAAAAGGAGGGGGTAGTCACAGGGATGGGAGGGGAGGAGAGTTTGTTATGGTCGAGGATGGTAATCGGGGTGTGAAATCAAATGCACATGAACTGTTGAATGTAAAACAAATTGGCTTTGTAAATTTGCACCCAAAACACAATTTTTAAAAAAACCTATGGGGCAGTTCTACTGTGTCATATGAGGTCACTGTGAGTCAGAATTGACTGATAGCACCTAATAACAAAAACAAATGTGAGCTTTAATCAATATTAATGATGCCTGGGCTGCACCTGCACCCTAGGAGATTCTGATTTAATTGCTCTGTGAACTGACATTGGAATTTTTATTATTCCCCCAGGTCGTTCTCCTGTACAGCAGACCTTGGGAATGTTGTTAAATGTAACCCTAAAATCTCTTAGACTTCCCATGTCCACATCAAAACCACATGAGATACCATTTTACTCCCGCTAGGATGGTCAAAAGGAGCTCTGGTGCCTAAGGCACTTGACTGCTAACCAGAAGGCTGGCAGTTCACACCCACCAACCACTCCTCGGAAGGAAGGTTGGGCAATCTACTTCCTTAGTGATACCGCCTCAGAAACCCAAGGAGGGGTTGCTGTTAGTCGGGTCAGACTCGACAGCACATAATAACAACAACAACAGGATGGTCAAGATTAAAACAATTGAAAATAGCAAATGTTGGCTAGGATGTGGGGAAATTGGAATCATTCCCACTGGTGGGAATGCAAAATGGTACAGCCATTGTGGAAAACAGTGTGGCAGTTTTTCAAAACCTAGAAATAGAGCTATCATTAAAAAAAAATTAAAAAAAAAAACCCACTGCCATCGAGTTCATTCCCACCCATAGCAACTCCCATTGGGTTTCCAAGGTGGTTAATCTTTATGGAAGTAGATTGTCCCATCTTCCTTCCTTGGAGTGGCTGGTGAGTTTGAACCTTCTGGGAGCAATCAAATGCCTTAGGCACTGTGCCATCAGAGCTCCTTAGAATTACCACATGACCCAGTAGTTCCACTGCTGGGAATATACTCAAGGGACTTGAAAATAGCTCCACAGACATATATACACTCGTGTTCACTACAGCATTATTCACAATAGCCGAGAGGTGGAAACAATCTAAACACCCATCACCAACTGAATTGTTAAACAAAAGGTGGTACATACAGTGGAATATTAATCAGACAATTAATTAATTGTCTTTCTAGACAAATGAAGTCTTGATGTAGGCTACAACATGGATGGAGCTTGACGACATTTTGCAGAGTGAAATAAGATAATCACAGAAGGACAAATACTGTATTGTATGGCTTTATATAAAAAGACAAGAACAGGCAGATAGAGAGAAACCAAAGTTATACCAGGAGTGGGAGGGAAGGGGAAGGAGAGTTGAGGGGTTACTCCTTTGAGAGCATACTCTTTCTGTGTATGGTGGTGGAAAATTTGCATTTATTAAGGGTAATGGTTGCACAACCAATTAATATAATTGATGTCAATAGTTTGTACACCAGTAAAAAGTTGAATTGGCAAGTGTTGTGTGATAGATATATTGACAACAACAACAAAAAGAGCAGCTTCTGAGGCTGCTTATGTACAACCAAATACCTCATGGTGTTTGGTCTCTTGGTTTGGAGTTTTAGGGTCATTGTTTCATGGGACATCCCAGTTAATTGGTTTAATGTCATGTTTAGTGCTTCTGTTCACCTTCCTAATTCATAGCATAGTGCCTAGGGTCTTAAAAGCTTGCAAGCAGCCATGCAAAGTACAACAGTTGGTCTCAGTTCACCTGGAGCAGCCAAGGAAGAAGCACAGTCAGGAAAAAGAGGAGGAAATGCAATGTGTGCCTAATTGCCTCGGTTAACAACTGCTCCCTTTGCAATGAGACAAGCAGAACTAGATGATGCCCTGCTACCATTACTGAATGTTTTGATGGAAGGTTCTATAAAAGAATCTTGATCAAAAGTGGGAACAATTTCAAATTCTCATGGAATCCATACTTTGTAGAGGCACTGAGGCTGGATGAAGTGTAACTACTGTCCTGAGATTGTCTTTAAAACTTCAACCAAAAATATCCCCTGAAGTCTTCCTTAAACCAAACAATAACCCATTGCTGTTGAGTCAACTCCAACTCATAGTGACTTTATTGGACTAAGTCAAATTTCCAAGGCTGTAATCTTCATGGAAGTAGACCGTTACATCTTTCTCCTGAAAAGTAGTTGATAGGTTCAAACCACTAACCTTTTGGTTAGCAGCCCAGATGAAGCTCTTAACTACTGTGCCATTAGGGCTCCTCCAACCAAACAATAGTTTAGCTTAGTTAGTAAGCATACCATGAGCATTGTGCTCTTCTGAGAACTATCTATATGGGATCAAACTGACAACAGTGTGAAACATTAGATAGGAAACTGTTGTTGTTATGTTGTTATGTGCCGTCAAGTCGAACCCAACTCATAGCAACCCCTCCTTGGGTTTCCAAGGTGGTATCACTACGGAAGTAGATTGTCCCATCTTCCTTCCGAGGAGTGGCTGGTGGATTTGAACCGCTAGCCTTCGGGTTAGCAGTCAAGTGCCTTAGGCACTATGCTACCAGAGCTCCTAGATAGGAAACTAAGGGGGCATTTAGTTAATGGGGGAGGAGCCATTCAGAAAAGGAATGTAATCATGTCACTGAATTCCAAAAAAAAAAAACCAAACTCACTGCTGTCAAGTCAGATCCGACTCATAGCGACCCCTCCATGGGTTTCTGAAGTGGTATCTCTATGGAAGTAGACCATCCAATCTTCCTTCCAAGAAGTGGCTGGTGAGTTTGAACTGACAGCCTTCTGGTTAGCAGTCAAATGGCTCAGGCACTACGCCATACATGTAGAAATTGTTGAATTGCTGAATGTTCTGTTGTATATATTCTCAACAACAACAAAATTAATTTTTTTTTTTAAAAAAAAAAAGGAAGATTTTACCCAGAATAAGATAATATGACCAATGAAGCAGGATGACACATTGCTGGCTTTGAAGATGGAGGAAGGGGCCAAGAAACACAAGGAGTGTGGCTCTAGAAGCTGGAAAGGCGAGGAAATAGATTTTCTTCTAGAGCCTCTCGAGGGCATGCAGGACTGTTGACACCCTGATTTCAGTTCAGTAAAACTAATTTTGGACTCCTGACCACCAGTACTGTAGGAAAAAAAAATGTGTTTTATTTTAAGCAAAAACCAAACCAACCTCACAGCTAAAACTCTTAAGACAATTCAGATAACCCCAAATTAAACAGGTTTCTAAGGAAATTGGGTGTGGTGAGGGAGACTCAATGAATCTTAGATGAGAGAGTATGTGATCTGGGTCTGTAAAGAGGAAGGCTGGATGCCAGTCAGGTAAGCATTTCTCCCAGAATGGGTCTGAAATTGGCAAAATTCTGATTCCTTCTACCCTGGGTTAGGGGAAGCTCATTTTTCAGAAATGCCTTTGTCCACTTACCCTGGACTAATGCTTCGTACTTTTCCTCCCTCATACTCAAGCAGTTCACTTTGTTCTTATCCTAGATCAGAATGAGAGCGGTGAAATCAGCCAGACAGCAGGAGAGCCCTGGCCTGACATTGAGAGCTTCAGTAAAATGCCTTTTGATGTCAGTGTGCACGATCCCAAGTACAGTTTGATGAGCCTGGTTTATACTGAGAAGCTGGCAGGAGTCAAACAAGGTCAGTCCAAATGGAGTCAGGCTTTCCTTTGCAGAAGGTCAAGGTCAAAGGAAATCTAACTCAGAGGAGAGATCCAAAGTAGTTTAATCTTTGAAAGCCACTGAAATCATTCTCCTGTGTTTTTTGTCTTTTCTCTTCCTCTTACACACATGCACACATTTTCGTATCTGCTTCTTAGGGCATAAGTTACAGAATCCTTGAAAAAACCCTTTTGGAGAGTAGGCAAATTTTCTTCCTAGGCATAAAGACTTTACATGTGTATCATGGGATTTTTTTTTTCCCCCTTTATATGCAGAAACAGTAAAGGAATCCAAAGTTGAGGAGCCCAGGAAACGAGAAACAGTGTCCATGATGTTGACAAAATATGCGGCCTACAACACCTTCCACCACTGTGAGCAGTGCCACCAGTACATGGACTTCACTGCTGCCTCCCAGGTACAGCCTCACCTTCACCCTGGCCTTGGGCCTTGGTGACCCAAAATGGACATTCTGTATAAAATGGGAGGTGGAGAGGTGAAAAGTAAGGCTCCTAGTTTCAAGCCCTAACAAACAATGCAACGCCCTGCCATCAAGTCAGATCCGACTCATAGCGACCCCTCCTTGGGTTTCCGAGGCAGAATCATTACAGAAGTAGATTGCCCAACCTTCCTTCCGAGGAGCAGCTGGTGGGTTTGAACTGCCAACCTTCTGGTTAGTAGTCAAGCGCCTTAGGCACTATGCTACCAGAGCTCCCTTTTTATCCCTTAGGATAAACCAAACCAAAACCAAACTCACTGCCATGGAGTCGGATCTGACTCATAGTGACCCCTCCTTGGTTTTCCGAGGTGGTATCACTATGGAAGGATATTGCCCAACTTTCCTTCCAAGGAGCAGCTGGTGGGTTTGAACTGCCAGCCTTCTGGTTAGCAGTCAAATGCCTTAGGTGCTACGTCACCAGAGCTCCCATTTCAGGGCCTAGGTAAAGAATAACTTACTTAAGAGCAGGAGCCATCCATTAGTGACTGAAATGCATGAAGCAATGATTAAAAGAGCTTTGGGCATGTTGGATTAGGGGAGGGGCAGCAAGCAGGACACTGGCTTAGTTTAGTGTCCAGAATTACTTCATCAGAATGGGTTACATGTATCGTGTCTAGGTTAGAAAGTAGCTGAGATTTTATCTGTCTGTGGTCCTGAAATAATTGGGACTTAGGGTATATTTGGTGAAAGAGTCTTTTTTCCCCTTTGGTTTGCTGACGACAATGACTAATCAGTGGGATGTGCTTTTGAATTATGCCATCTAATAATTCTTTTGATTTAACCTAGTTACAATGTTACATTGTGACCTGTGGGACATGGAACTCGTGGGGACTATCTTGTTTTTCTGGATCTGGCAAGTTCTCTGCCTTTGACAGAGCGCAGTCTCTTTCACTCTCTACTAGTGGGAAATACTTGAGCTTTTCTTTCTGACTGGTTTCTGCCTTACACAGGTTCTGGCTTCCACAGGTTTTACTGTGTATTCATACTGCATCTTGGAAGGTTTTGACAAACGGGCATACAGTGGAGTTGATATTTTATGCAGGGAGAACTGAATGGGAGCCAGTATTGACAGGATGTGGCTTCTTTTTGGTGAGCGCTTCTTTAAGCACAGATAGGAAAGGCAGCAAATGATGTAGTATCCAGGGCCCATTTTGTGGATAAGTTGCGTTTCTCCAATTTCATCTTCTTGTTTTTAATACTTGGCTTGGAATACCTAGAAACAACTCTTCCTTCTTATAGGCCATGTTGATTGGACTTCTCCCAAACCTGCTTCTGCTCTCAGTACTCAGGGCTATACCCTTCCTTTTCCCATCTCTCATTCTGAAATACAAATGGGTATTAGAAGGGATATACTGAAACACTGGATTGAATCATTCTAATACAAGTTACCTTTTATATCCCAGTCATTTTCTTGGTCTTATTGAAAACTTTTGGTATGTGCTGTCAAGTCGGACCCAACTTATAGTGACCCCTCCTTGGGTTTCTGAGGCAGTATCACTATGGAAGTAGATTGCCCCATCTTCCTTCTGAGGAGTGGCTGGTGGGTTTGAACTGCCAGCCTTCTGGTTAGCAGTCAAGTGCCTTAGGCACTATGCCACCAGAGCTCCAGCTTTTGGTAGCTAGTTCTAAATCAGCTCACAGTGCTTTACAAAATATGTAAGATTCAAGTCCCCTGGTCAGTTAAATCATAGGTTTTTAGGAAATACTCTTAAAGGGCTTCTATTTATTTAGTTATTTCTGTATGATTACAGAACTAAGTACTTGTGAGCAGAATGAAAAATTACAATACATGTTCTGGTTACCTGGTACCGCTGATGGGAATATACCACAGATGGGATAGCTTGAAGAAACAGGAGTTTATTCTCTTACAATTTGGAGGCTTCAAGTCTGAGTTCAAAGTGTCAGCCTCTAGGGGCTGAGTAAAAGCCCCTCAACCTTGGGCTCCAGCTCTGCTTCCTGCTCCCGACCCACTAAAGCCAGAGGCTTTTCTTCACTCAGACAGCTGCTGGCTGCTGAGGCTGACAAGCCCAAGGTTGACAAGTAAAAAGACACAGTCCCAATGTTACCAAACCACATAGCAGGCCATTAATTCATGTCCACTGAAGGTCGGCAGAGCATGACAGGCTGCTGAACAATGACTCAGCTACATACAGGGTTTAAGTGTGCCATAAGCTGGAGACCATTCTCCAAGGCTTCTGCTTATGTACAGGAAGCAGACCACATCCCTGAGGCAGCTACTCAGCTTCTCACAGTAGATTCCACCATGGAGTTGATTACCAGTCTCATCATGGGGAGTAACTGTCCAGCTGCCCGGCCACTCAACCAGGCCCAGCCAAGTTGACACACAAACTTAACTGCCACAATGTATTTCTTTTATAAAATGTAACATTTAGGTTAAAACTATTAGGAAGTCTACCTAGATCCTGTGTGCTGCTTATAAGATGCTAACCTTTCGTCAAGACAAATACTGTCTGCATTGTAAAGCATATAAAGACTGATTATACAGTTCACTGAGAGAGCATGTGAACTTCCTAGCAACTTTAAAAATTGGTTAGATTTATATTTGGCTTGTTGTTGTTGTTGTTATGTGCCGTCGAGTTGGCCCCGACTCATAGCGACCCCTTCTTGGGTTTCCGAGGCAGTATCACTACAGAAGTAGGATTGCCCAACCTTCCTTCCGAGGAGTGGCTGGTGGGTTTGAACCACCAGC